AGAAAAGGTCAATCTTGGTACTCCATCTTGGGAGACGAACTTACTACATACCTCACCGTGCTGTCATCATTCGTGAAGAATCATAATTCTACAAAGCTTCGCATTGTTTATGATGCTTCTTCAAAGGAAAAAAATCATGAATCTCTAAATGATAATTTACTACAAGGACCAAATCTTCTTCCTGAACTTTTGAAAGTTTTAATAAATTTTCGACTTCATCAAATTGCATTTACGTCAGATATTGAGAAAGCGTTTTTACAAATTTCTATTGCACCTGAAGATCGAGATTCAATGCGAATTTTGTGGATTGATGAGAATTCAAGTTTGAACGATCTGAGAATTCAAGTTTATCGGATGTGTCGTGTAATTTTTGGAGCAAAATCAAGTCCATTTTTGCTGAGCGCTTGCATTAAGCATCATATAAAGAAATTTGAAGACATCCATCCCAGAACTGTAGAAATGTTAGAAAACTTCATGTATGTTGACGATTTTATTTGTGGATCAGATACGGAGGAGGAAGCTATACAGATATATCATGAAGCCAATGATATAATGAAAAAGGCATCAATGACTTTGACCAAATGGAATTCTAATTCGGATACTGTAAAAAACCAGTATAAATCAAGTGACAACTTCGTTAACTTTAAATTGCCCGACTGTGATTCCCCCTCAAAGATTCTTGGACTTCAATGGGATACAATTAAGGATATCTTCTGTTTTAATGCACAAGACATTATTGATTTCATCCAGTCAAATGACCAAACAAAACGCTGTGTTTTAAAAGCTGCTTCAAAAATCTTCGATCCTGTTGGGTTTCTTGCTCCATATGTTATTCAAGCAAAAGTTCTGTTTCAGGATTTATGGCTGAAAGGTGTTGATTGGGATGAAATTATCCCACCAGAATTGCAAGACAAGTGGAATAAATGGTATAGGCAACTATGTGATCTACCTAATATCCAGATACCTCGGTGGTATTTTCGTGATGTTGATGAAACACCTGAAACACTAGAACTACATTGTTTTTGTGATTCATCTCAAAGTGCTTACGGAGCAGCAGTGTACGTGAAATTCCGTAGCTTAAAATATTGTGGAACAAGTTTAGTGATAGCCAAGAGCAGGGTGACACCCCTGAAAAAATTATCTTTACCAAGACTCGAGCTCATGGCAGCAGTGTTAGGTGCAAGACTTGTAACTACAGTCCGTGTGCATTTTCCTCAAGCTAAGATTCATTTATGGACAGATTCTCTTATTGTGCTTCATTGGATAAAAAACTCACCGCGGCGATGGAAAACATTCGTACAAAATCGAGTGTCTGAAATTCAAGACAAAACATCTCCGAGCATGTGGCATCATTGTCCTGGCTCAGATAATCCAGCCGATAAAATCACACGTGGTGTTAAAGTGAGTGATCTTGTAGTAGATCAAGTGTGGTGGCATGGACCTCCATGGCTTCATCAAGATGAAATAAATTGGCCTAAAGTGAACGAGCATTGTAACATAGTAGATAGTGCAGAAGAAAGAGTTGTGACTCAAGTTACTAGCAGTGTTCAACCTCTACAACCTGTGTTAAAAATAGAAAACTTTAGTGACTTAGGTAAACTTTTAAGAGTCACGTCATATGTATTTAGATTCATTAATAATTTAAAGTCACAGAATAGAGTGATTGGTCCTGTGACCAAAAATGAAATATGTAATGCTATGTGTTATTGGATTATCTTATCACAAGGTGAGTATTTTTTTGAAGAGTTGAATGATGTTAAATGTAAAAAATCATTGTCTCATAATTCCAATTTGTTTGGGTTAAATCCAGTAATGGATGAAAAGGGTTGTTTAAGAGTTGGAAGTAGATTAGTGAAATCATCATTAGATGTCGATGAAATTCAGCCTATAATATTACCAAATAATTATTTTTCTCGTTTAATTGTTTTGAATTGTCATGAAAAGGTACTTCATAGTGATGTAAATGAAACTTTAGTGCAAGTAAGAGGGAAATTTTGGATTTTAAAAGCTAGACGTTTTGTAAAATCTGTGTTACATGATTGTAGATTTTGTAAAAAATATAATGCTAAAGCTGGACACGAGATATCGGCTCCTCTTCCAGCTGACCGAGTGGAGAAAGCTCAACCATTTGAGGTAAGTGGCATAGATTTCGCTGGCCCTTTGTATTTAAAGGATGGTACAAAAGTGTATATTTCATTGTTTACCTGTGCAGTGACACGAGGAGTCCATTTAGAATTGTTATCAAATTTAAGTGCAGAGTGTTTCATTCAAGCCTTACGTAGATTTTTTGCACGCAGGGGTATTTGTAGAGTTATATATTCTGATAATGCTAAAACCTTTAAGACTGCTGATCGTGAATTAAAATATTTGTATAAATTATGTAAAGATGAAAAGGTTCTAAATTTCCTTGGTAAAAATGGGTTTGAATGGAAATTTATTGTAGAAGGTGCTCCTTGGTGGGGCGGATTCTGGGAACGTTTGGTAAGATCTGTAAAAACTTGTTTAAAACGTATCTTAGGTAAAGCTTCTTTATATTATGAAGAACTGTATACTGTTTTAGTTGAAGTTGAAGCTGTTATTAATTCTAGACCTATAACGTATGTATACAATGAACCAAATGAACCTGATCCTCTTTCACCCATCTCATTTTATAACTGGATCTAGATTGACTGTTTTACCTTCACCTGAATCTAAATTAGAATCTACAAGATCTCAATTGATTAAAAGATGGAAGCATAGGCAATTAATATTAGAGCATTTTTGGAAAAGGTTTTATAAAGAATATTTGTTAGAATTAAGATCAGTCATGTTTTCAAAAACTCCAAAGAATTCTCCCGTGTTTAAAATTAATGATGTTGTACTTGTACGAGAAGATAATGTGAAAACGCTGTAACTGGAAGATAGGTAGGATTAAGGAATTATTTCATGGAAGAGATGATAGAATTAGATCTTGTGAGATTCAGTTGGATAAGGGTGTTGTTAGAAGACCAATTGAAAGACTTTATAATCTTGAAGTTCAATAAAATTGATGCATCCGTAAACGGATGCATGGGGGGGAGTGTTAAGTTTAGGATTGTGTATCCATAGATCGCCAATAGATGGCGGTAGTGTTTGTTTGTAAAAGGAAACTGTGATGTCAATTATGTATATGTATCAGTTCGTCTTTGGTGTTCGTGAATAAATGTTGTGTGGAAGAACGCTCCTCTGTTTATTACTTTAACTGCGATCCAGTCTGTTTATTAGAGATTTACACATATTTTGTTTACATAGAGACAAACTCAATCAAGATGTTGGGTTTTTCAATTTTTGAATTTAACAATTAAAAATACTTTGTTTCTTTGCGTACCACCCTATTTTTCTCTTGCTTCTCAACCAGTGGTACTGTACCATCAGTTGTACACGTACCACTGGTTGAGAACCCCTGATTTATGCAAACTGCTTATGAAAGAGAATATTTCATTTTTTAGGACAAGTATTATTATATAGCCTAGAAGCTGTAATATGTAAGCGTAATTATATAAAGCTCCTATTAATCAATTTTTTCCCAGGCTTTAGTTGCATTAAAAAATTCTCCGAAAAGTAATTTAATACGTACAGATTGTGTTCACACATTTTTGTGACGATTTTTCAAAGAATTATACATAAAATAACTTAGAATTTTATTTTCTAATATATTCAATCTGATAGCCTTTTGTTGATCTATCTTATTACATCTTGATTTCAAAGATAAAAGTCCTCTTCTTAAAATATAAAGATTGATTTTTATTCCACTCCTCCTTCACAATTTTCCAAATTCCATGCAATGTTTTGGGATGCTACTTATAAAGAGCTTGCTTTAAAAGCCAAAATACATAAAAAAAAGAGCTGTAGAGTTAGAGGAATGGCTCGGAGAGTTATTCTGATGGAACTTTGAAGTTAAAGTTGATGGTGTGAAGATTCTAATTCAGAAGTCAAGCAACAAAAATCAGCGTTATATTTTCAAATTTTCCCAGTTGTGAAAATTTGAAAATATAACGCTGATTTTTGTTGTTTGACTTCTGAATTAATATTTGCTCGGCGTGTTATTGTGTCTAAACAGTGAAGATTGTTTGGATAAAGAGAAGGAATTTCTTCTTTAAAATTAGGCGTTAAAACATATTTCTGATAGTTACCCGAATTAATTTTGACTTTTTTCCTACTTTCTTTATTTTAAGTTTTCCGTTATAAGAGAATCCAATAACAACCATAAAAGCTTTAGAAAAACCTTTCCTTATTATCACTAAAACAACATATTAAGCCTTTTTCTCTTCGCTTTCGGTAGTAAATAGATCTTTTCCCATTGCAATCAGATAAGTATGTGCACGCCTCATCAATTATAACTATACATTTCAAATTCTCACCTTCCAAATAATTTTCATACAGCAATCTGCACATAGTTTACGCTGAGAAGCGTGTTTCGGCGTTAGGCGATGAACATCATGTTTTTTTTTTTGCTTTGAATCGGTTTTATAATTTGTTCACAGTTCTTCCAGAGATATTTAAAGATTTTGCAATAGCTCTTTAGGGGGGGGGCGCTGGATTTTCCAGCTCCCAAGGAGCCATGAGATGCAACTTTAATAAGAGCTGTATGTGTATTTTTTGTCTTTCTTCCAGTCAGATGTACACTTTGAAGTTTCTTTCCTTTCATATTAATTATGTCATTTATTTTACGTGTATAAATATTAAAATCATGCTTTGCACATCTTTTTTAATAATTGAATAAGAATATTTGTCTTAAGACAGCGCAAAAATATAGCCTTCGATCCATTGTTTATTTTGCAGCAACATTTCAAAGAAAAGAATATTTTTAATGCTGCATTAAACCTTTTTCTTTAATTGGATGACAGTCACGCTTGCATTTTAAAATTAATATTTAAATTCATGGAGAAAATAAAAATCGTTACAAAAATGTGTCAACACCCTCTGTATAATATAGGATTGTAATTAACATGCATCACTTAAAATTTATTATTTACTTACAGGTTCCTCATTCATGGATCAGCCAGACTGGATAACTGGAAAGATGCTCTGGACACTTATGCATTTGCCACAAGATTTGGTGTGAATGAATTAAAATATTTCTGCGAAGAATTTTTCGCAGAAAATATTCTTACGCCAGAAAACATTAACGAAATTCATCAATTAGCTAAGCGCATGAACATAAACGTAGTTATTCAAGCCACCCAAAAATTTTTGGATGAACTTGCTAGTAATCATGACTGTTCTCAGTTTTCATGTCCATATTGCTTCGTCATAAATTCGGAGTATGTCGAACCTTTTCAGTTGAAAGTGCCTTTAGACAATATAAAATACAGTTCATTAATTGATAATTTTGAAGTGGATGTAATTAATGAAATTATTTTGGAATCGTTCGCAAAAAAAGGGATTTATCATATCATAGGCATTCAAATAAAACTGAAGCCTGGTGATAGAGATGATGTATCTCCATTGGACATCTATGTCGAAGCATCGAATTTTAAAGAAAACATTCTATTCCAGGAGAAAAGATGTAAGCTACCAAGTCCTACTTTGGTTATTATGTTCCGACATAAATTATTGCTGAGACCTGAACAGATGGCATCAATCCATGTAATAATTTCGGATGTAAAGCCAAATTATTGTTCAGCATTAAAGAAGACTCAAATTTCGAAAGATAAAAAACTGAAAGTGACATTTAAATCGAATCGAACCGCATTCAAGAATAATGAAGCAAGATTTTTTATTGAAAAAATATTTTATCTTGCTAGATAGCTGAGGACTTTTGATGAATATAATCGAGGTTAAATTCGTAAAGAATTTATAAAGATGAACTAAACTGATAATATTTGTCATGTATGAGTGAAAAATTTTATTGATTCTTAATTTCCTTTGCTAAAAAACTTCAAAAATATAATAAGGCTTTAATTTGTATTATAACGTTACATTAATGAATATTGTTTTAATTGTTTTAAGACTGATTTGTAAATGAAATTAAATTTGACTGTTTCTAATGTAGTAATCTTTTTTTTTATATGGCAGCAATGTTAGAAGAACTGATTTTGTAGTTTTATCCTCATCTAAAAGTAATTTTTTATACATGTATTTTTCAAAGAAGGGCTGTATATGAATATGTTGGTATTTGATACTTCAAATAATGGAAAATGTACTCAGGTAATAAATTACAAACAAGTAGATTTAGCTACGAAAAGGCATTAGGATGGCATGAATTAACTCCACAGTTTATTTTATTGCTAATTCTCTACGATCAATAATCACTCTAAATGTGAATCTAAGCTGAAATATAAATTTCAATATTAATAATAAACTCAGTAGAAATGAAGCTTGGTATATTCGAAATTTTCTACTTCTCAAATTAGTTTATAAGCCTCAATGTATGGGAAGTTTTTACTGGAATACATAAGGAAACATAGCTACTTCAGAAAAACGAACAATTTGTTGAAACAACAAAATTAAAATTACAATATAAAGGAAAGGTAATGAAATAAATAAGTCATATTTTTAGAACAAAATAGATTTTTGCATTAAATTTATCTTAAAAATACTACAATAAATGCAATTTAAATATAGTTAATTTTATACAAATTACTTTCAACTAATAAGCATTCAACTAATATTTCAACTAATAAATAGCATTGCAGTATTAGGTATTACCTAATACCGTAATGCTGTTTATGACAGTTACTTATTTAAATTCTCTGAGTAATTTTTAGGATTAGAAGAAACACCAAAAGCTAATTACAATTCCTCTTAAAAAGGTTGTAAGATCAAGCCTAATTATCCTTCTAATTAAACTTTCCTAACAGTTATTCAATGAATTATTCTCTTCATAAACAAACAGAAGTCACACACACACAAACACAGAAGTCTTCTGTTGCTCAGCATTGTTGGTCCGAAAATCACACTTTCAATTTTTCTGCTGCCAAAATTATTCAAAAAACATCTTCCATTGGAGAACTGGATTTTCTAAAGGCATTTCACATTCATAAAAGTCTTTCTGTTCTAGTTAACGATCCTAATTCCAATCCAAATTTGCCTTCGGCTTTTTAGAGAAATTATGTTTTAGTTCTGTTTCGCCAACAGATGGCGCCACTTGCTTATTCTTGTCCAGGCTTTCTTATTTATCTAAACATTATTTCCTATCTTGTTCATTTGCGGTTTTGCAGCTGAAGATGATGGTTCGGTAAAACCATCGAAACTAGTCCTGCGAAAATTTTTTAAATATAACGCTGATTTTTGTTGTTTGACTTCTGAATTAGTAAACAGAAGTCAAATTAGGTTTCATTAACACAAAGAAGAGATAAAACTAAATGAAAAGGTTTATTAGACTACCCCATGCAATTTACTAATAACAACAACTTACAAGTAGCTATTAAAGAAAAGGTGGCTACAAAAGAGAATTTTTGTTTTCGTAAGGCATGAATAGGAGTCAAATTTTACAAAATTTAATATTTATGCATAATTTGAGTCGTAGAATCGAAATTGGGAAAAAAGTGGCATGTCATTTCAGAAAAAGGTCCGATTTTGTGTCAAAATACCTATATTAGAACAAAGCTGTTTTCGAGACATGAAAAACGCAAGCTGAATTTCGTCAATCGACCTGGTAGAACGGGAGATATAGAACGGTCTCATTTTTTTTCTTGCGCAGTGTACGATAAAAATATTTATTATTAATTATTAAAGATTACATTTTCTTTTCAGTATTATTACATTACCAAATATGAATTTTGCTGCGTCAAGAGTCTCATAGCATATTTTTTCTTGCCAGTTTTTACGTAACCTTTGTTAACATGGTTGCTATGAGCGATGGGCAACAACAAGGGCTTTTACCAAGCTATTTTCGTCAAGAATTTATCGATAATGTATCTTCTTCAGCGACTGGCACTTATCGTAAGGTGACGTAGAAAGGCTAGAGTCTATTTATAATGTTAATTATCTTTTGCTTTTGATAAAAGAAGCCGCTTATTTTATGAAACGGAGAGATAAGATTTCCTCGTACACAAAACTATGCTTTTAGGTAACTTTATACCAAAATAATTTTGATTTTGATTTTCCGTTTTGTTCGTTGCCTTCCAAGGCTGATAATTATTACTTTAGGATCAGTCATTTATTATCATGGAATAAATCTGAATGATACGATAAAAGTGTATAATTCTTTCATGAATGAGATAGATAATGTATATGAATGGTTGAACTTCTTGTACCGCCATTAGAGGCTTAACAGGGCTTAGTCGAGCTATTTGATTAAAGAAACATTCAGATCTAAAACAAGGCCTAAATCAGGCCCATTAAGCAGTAGAACTACCACCTTACTACCTGAAATAACTTAAAATAGAATAAACAACTAAAATAGAAACTTAAAGTCTAGGAGCTGGGGAGATTTACCAGCTATACCAACAAAAGCACATTATTACAGACTTTGTAAAATATAACACATGTTATTTGCATGCATAAAAATATATTACTTACGTATACAAAGAAATAAAATAACAGAGTATCATAAACATTCTAATTTTCCTTTAAACAGACAAGGAAATTTTAAAAACAATCAATATATAAATTCATTTCATTTAAAGATACATATTTTATAAAATTTGAAAATTTCAATTTCGTCACATAGATCCTTTAGAGTATTAAATTTCGAAATATCTGGAATAAATCTTTTCATAGAAGAGCATCTAAACAACAGGTGTTCAATATCGACATTACTCATTCCACATGGACAGGCACAATTTTTAATCGAAAACCTATTATAATAAAAGGGAAAGTGTCCATGATTAGTTAAAGCTTGGTTTAGATACTTGTCACTTAGGTATCTTTTCTCACTTACATTTGAGATTTAATTATAAGTGAAATCTCCTTTAGAATCTGGATCGTTCCATACTTTGCCAGCCATAAAAGTCGAACTTATTCTTTTCAACAAGGATTTCAAACTGTCAAAGGAAGTCTTTACTTCAAACTCAATAAATTTGATTTTCAGTGGCAGCTTTTGCCAATCTATCTGCTAACTCCTTACCGATAGTCTCAATATGACTCCAAAAGAGTTTAATATCTCTGAAAGCGCTAAGAAATATGAGCATATCTTTTATCTGTTTAATTAGATTCGGTACTTGGACGTATCCCGTGATTGAAACAATTGCGCTTTCGCAGTCACTATAGATTTCTACAGGATCTATTGCAGAATTAGAAATAAGCCAATACAAGGCCTCTCGCAGGGCCACTAACTCTGCCTGATAGAAAAAGGCATTGTCAGAAAGTCTATATTTCCTTTTCAAGCTTAGTTTCTCATCTGAAAACACACAAAAGGCTGCCCCCACATGACCATTTAATTTAGATCCATCTGAAAAACTCGTGTAGCCTGCCATATTGGGAAGGCCTTTATGCCAATTCAACCGTTTCAACAAAGCTGGATGAATGGCTTAACCTTTTTCAAAGTCAAAATCTTTAGCTGAGAAGATCTCACTGAAACAATCGACAGTTTTATTACCAGCTTCTAATTTAAAGATAGCATATACTTTTTCCGCTAAAATATCGGTCGGAGGACATCTAGCCAAAATCTGAAGAGCTACTGTGGAAACAGTTCTAAAACACTTAGTAATCCTCAGTAAAGCGATTCTTTGAACTTGCAAAATTTTGTTACGCATTCGGACCGTTCCAGCCCACCATGTGCCACGTGCATACAAGATCTTTCTCTCAATAGCTCTTTTATACAAACTCTTAAGGACTTTACCTTGGAGATTCATTTTACTAAGTCTATTAAGAATATGGGTACATTCGATCTTTATTTAATTTAGGTGAGGTATAAAAATGAGCTTTTATCGTAATGCCCAAATATTTGATATTCTTTGAAACTCTAATTGGTTGTCCATACAGTTTGCAACTAGGATGTATTGATCTAGTATTAGCTTTGGCAATACCCAAAAGAAAGCTCTTCTTTGGATCAAATTTGAGTTTAACATGGAAAGACCACTTCTCCAATTCTTGAGTGGCGAAACTTAAAGCTTTATGAATAGTATGGCGACCACTTTCCGTGGCCAATAAAACAAAATCGTCAGCATAAGCTTGTATACTAACATTTTGTGGTAAGGTTATGTTTAAAGCTATATTATTAATAATATTCCACAAAAGTGGATCAGATATTGAGCCTTGGGGACAACCCCTTTGGTAATTTCTGTGATGCCACTTATTACCATCATATAAGGGAACTTTTCTTTCATTCAGAAAATCACATATTAATAAGAAGATATTTCTTGGACATTTCATATTTTTTAATTCCTTTAATAAAATTGGCCATCAAACATTGTTGAAAGCACTCTTTACATCTAAGGATAAAATTGCAGTATGTTTACCATTCCTTCTGTTTCGGAGGATGTCAGAAATTAGATTATCTATAGCCTGGGTAGTACTTTTACCCGGCATAAAACCAAACTGATTTTTATTTAAAAGATTATTTGATAATAAATAATACTGTAACCGTTGTGTCATGAGTTTATCCAGCACCTTGCCCTAGGAAGGCAGTAAGCAAATGGGCGAAAAGAGGAAGGATATTCTTTATCCTTACTTTCTTTGTTGAACAAAACCAAATCAGCCTCTTTCCAACATTCAGGAAAAAATCCCCCTCGGAAGACATTCATTCAGAATAGCTACAAAGAACTTTTTATTGCATTCAAGGATTTCTAAAATAATATCCATTGTCAGGCCATCTTTACACGGATCTTTTCCTTTATTTAACTTTTTAAGGGTAAATTGCACTTCATCCAAAGTAAAATCATAATCATTCACGGTCTCTGGAGGTATCCTACAATCTGAAATATCTGATAATGTATATATAATATTGGCTGATTGGAGACCACGAGAAGAATTAATGGTCAGTGTTCGACTACAGAAGGGCATCTAAAAGCAATTTTACTTGCCGCAAAATAATTTATTAGAAACAACCTCTAATGAAACTCTCTAGCTTATATTGTAGAGTCATTAGCTATTTTGGGAACAGGAGATGTGAAACATGGGCAACGCCCTCACCAGGAATCGAACCACGGACCTCTAGAATACGCTTCCAGCATGCTGACCACTACACTACGAAGGTATGCTAAGAAGG